CTATATATATTATTGAAATATCCGTTGGATTTTCCATTAGAATATATTACTGCCTTTTCGCTAGAATATGACTTTTTTTTTTGTGTTGTCCGATAGAGTATTTGAATAAGTTAAACATGTTAAAAGGAGGAAAAGTTTGAGGGACATTTGAGGATAAAGTAGATGTTTTGTAATGATTCAGACGATTCGGATCTCACTACAACCAGTTTGATCGAGATCTAGGAGAGGACCAAGTCCCAATTTTTTTATTTGATTCGTCGCTGGAATTCAATATTGTTTCTGAAATTTGAGTCGAATTATTTTAATCCGAAGACTTGAGATTATCTAATATTTTATTATATATTAATTATATAAAATTTAGTATAATATATATTATTTAAAATATTAAATTGTATTCATATAATATAAATTAAACATATAAATATACTTTTATTCAGTGTTTTGTGACCCGGACCGGACCGGCGGGTCGACCCGGGACCCGGTCGACCCGGAGCCGGAACCGGTCCGGGTGGGTTAATTAGACCGGGCAACAACGGACCCGGTCAAACCCGGTCAAAACCCGGTCGACCCGGGACATTGACCCGGTTGGGTCAACTCGGTTGACCCGGCCTATATGTATTTTTTTATTTTTTTTTGTTTTTTAATTTTCTTTTTCTTTTTAAAAAATAAAATTATGTATATATATTTATATGATAAATATATACATATTATTACCACTTTAATCTACAAAGTTTACATACAAAATATTTAAATTTGTTATTTTTATGTATATTTATATATCACAAAATACTCTATATATAATTTTATAAATTTTAAAATTAATTATCCGGTTCAGCAATTGACCCGGTGACCCGGCGGTTGAACCGGTGACCCGGTGACCCAAAGACCTGCCCGGGTCGATTACCGGGCCGGGTTTAAAAACTATGCTTTTATTTAAAAAAAATAGAAATAAAAATGTATTAAAAATAGAAATCAATTTCTATATTTAGTATATTTATAAAATTATACATCTTTACCTATAAATATATATATTTATAATAAATATACTTTTTTTATTGGAAAAACGTGACTCTTACACGGAGTTGTTACTAAATTATATATTTGATAATTACAAAAATATAAACCATGAATCATGTGTAGAAAGAGGTTTTAATTTAAAAAATATATTTAATTTTCTTTAGTTATATTTTGAATTGGACAAAAATGATTGATCATCTCACTTTTACCAAATGTATGGTAAATTATATTCGCTTAATATGATAGATTAATATTGTTTTTCCGCATCGCCCGGTCGCGCACTATATATTTTAATTTCATATGATTCGAAAGAAGTAAAAAGCTCTATCATAATAGCCCATCTATTCATCTATTAATCGCATACTGAAGTGGTCAGGATTTCAGGTTCTTACTTGCAATATATGTATGGCACTAAATAGCAATTTAATTAATCATGGCTGTAATCCATGTAAATCTACAGTTCAAAAGTTGACAGGTTGGTAGACAAGATATATAGGATTCACTTGACTTAGACATGTTCTGGGCCGAACCAGCTCGTAAACCGCCCCGTCCCGGCCCGAAAACCGGACCCTCAGGGTCGATTCGGTCCCTGTTCTTCTTTCTTTCTTTTTTGTTTTTGTCCCGCCGGTCTAAGCCGGGTCGGGCCGCGAGTTGAACGACGGGCCATACTAGGGCCGTACCGGCTTGGAATCGCTCGAGACCCGCGGTGTCGGTGAACCGGCGGTTTAGGGCTAGTTCTATGAAGCGGTCAATATAAATGAGAGGGCTGGTCACGGGCCATGAGATTGAGCCGGCGGGTCGGGTCGGGTCGGGCGCGGCCCGACGATTGGCCACGTCTAACTTGACTAATCTTATGAAATGAAAATACATATAAGTGTATGATGCCTCAACAATAATTAAAACCACTACCAAAAGTTTAAAACTGCTAAAAACATGCTTTGTCATATCAATATAGCATCTATACGTACTGTACAATCTTGTCTGATCAATATTTATTTTGTCTTTCTTTTTTTTTTTTTTCATTCTTTATATTTTTAGAACTATTTGTGTGAGATTGTTTCCTCAGTATGCAAAATAATTGGACAACTCGGGAAGACACAATGGCATATATTAATTAACCATGAAAGTTATTTTGATGTACAACTTTTGTTTTTCTTTTTTTTATGTGACATGAGAGATGGAGATTTTTCCATAAACTCCTTTTAGATTAGTCTTGTTCTTGTATTGTGTATTGTTTTAAACCTATAACTAATATGTTGAAGAAACGGAGGTTTACGGGTGCGGTCCCATGGACGTCTATAACTAATAAGTTGAAGAAATGGGGGTTGACGGGTGCAGTCCCACGGATGTGAAGCGCGCCAAAGCATGGTGCGCCTAGATGGGCTTCAGTGGGGTTCCATCCTAAAACCAATTGGTGGTAAAAGCAGTAGCTCACTAGACTTATAAGTTAGACCTATTTTTTCTGTATAAAAGGTATATAACAACTCATAAGTGTATATTCTAACACCCCCCACACACTTGCGAGTTCTTCGTATGAGGCTCAAGCCCAACTGGGGTGACGAGTACGTCATTGCACAGTCCCACGTATTTACCATAGGAAAAACGGGGTTGACTGGTGCGGTCCCACGGACGTGAAGCGCATCAAACTAGGTTATAGAAAAAACGGGGTTGACTGGTGCGGTCCCACGGACGTGAAGCGCATCAAAGTAGGGTGAACCTAGATGAGCCTTGGTGGAGTTTCATCCTAAAACCAATTGGTGGTAGGAAGAGTAATTCACTAGGCTTATATGCTAGGCCTATTTTCTCTGTATAGAAGATGTGAGAACGTAAGTAGCAATTTAATCCTTCCAAGATTAATTATAGGCTAATTGTAAGATTAGAGAATCGGGGAAAGAGAGTGCGGTCCCACGCATATCAAGTGCACCATAAGAGGGTGAGCCTAGGTGCACCTTAGTGAGGTTCCATCCCAAAACCAATTGGTGATGGGAGGAGTAACTCACTTGGCTTATATACTAGGCTCATTCCTATAAAATCAATGTGAGACAACTCACAAGCGATACTCCAACACTAATTGACCAATCAATTAGTTGTAATGGTAACTAAAAATTATTATAAGTATGTGAATTTGGTAGGGCAATGGTGATGAGGAAAAGGAAAGTGATGTAATAAGCATCATAGGACGAAGACAAGGAAAACAGACCTACTTGACACTGACGACTCTCGGTGCAGTTAAATCTATGTGGACCGTCCACAGCATTAAATCACCCCCAAAGTAAACAACATGACATAATTGAATTTCTAGTCATGTTTCCTTTTCTCTAAAATGGTGAATTCACAAACTCTTTTATGTTGTGTAAATAAAGAAATGTTAGACTGAAATATACCCAAACAAATATAGGTTTCTCTTATTTATTTATTTATTATTATATCATTAAGGCATATGTTTTATTTATTCATATAATTAATACGTGCCTGTTTGATTAGGGCGTGCTTGGATACAAATAAATTTGCTAAAAACGGACTTTTTTGGTTAAACAAAGTTAATTTTTAGGAATGTAGTGTAATTAATTTTTTGTGCGATTATGAGTTTATATTAAAATAATATTTAAAACAAAATAATTAAAGTTGATTGAATGTAAAAGCAGAAAAGAGATGATATGAAATAGTAATAGCTAGTTAAATATATGTGAGATAGATTTAGAGTATGTATTAAGTATGAATTGAGTTTACTTATAAACAAACACAACCTAAGATTGTATTGTATGAATCATGACTAATCGTGTATTGATAAAAGTTATACTACACAATTATTTTGTTCACAAAATATTAGTAAAATGATACATAAATCATATTTTGAACATAATCTCGTAATAAAAATATTACTGATTCGTTTATTTAAACTACATTGTGTTTGTCATAACAAAATATTCATAATATTAAAATTCATATTTAATTTCAATACCCAGATTTAATCTTGCCAAGCTGACCCATAACATGGTTACGTGGATGCTACTTGTTGAGAGTAGATGACAATATAACATACAAATTAAAAAATGAGAAAGTAAACAACACAAGATTTACGTGGTTCGACAATATGCCTACGTCCACGACGGCTGAGGGATCTTTATTATTTTCAATAGTCTCAAATACATCAATACATCATGTATTTATACTATAACCCTACAAGGTATTAATTTACTTAAATACCCCGTACCGTACCGCGGGAGCTCTGCCCCCGCACCCCCTTCCATACTGCGGGGGCTCCGCCAGCCTGCCACCTTCTTTTGTCAATATATGAACCATACCAACACTACTCCAATTGTATCATATTTTACTTTGTTATATAAAAGAGAGCTTTGGGCAATGACAACAGAAAAATATTCTTTTCTTTAAATATGTTTAGTTTTACTAAATAGAAATAATTTTATTTCATACATCAAACATTTATAACAAAGAATAATATGTTAATAATTGAAAATATAGATTTAAAGAGAAATTAATTATTTCTTACTTTATGTATTTCTATTATAATAAATAAATAAATATAATATTTTTTTTAAAAAAAAGGTCAATTAATTCGTTATGCTCATGACTGATCAGTCATGATGATCCGAAGGCAAACAACCAAATAGCTGATAGAAGCAACTATAAAGCCAAATCTAGTGGGAGGACTGACCCGTAGAATCGCCACTAGATTTAACAAATACAGGACACGAAATCTCCCAACAAGAGAACATACTGCTTCCAACGCCAACAAGAACACAAACAAACACAAAACTACTACTATTCTAAATAACGCTCTCCCGTTCAGCAAAACAGAACTTTAGACCTACACACCTAGCAACAAATAAAAGAGACACAACCCAGAGCTCAAACACATGGGTTGAGAAAATTCCCCTACGGCTGACTCGACCCAAACTGACGTACCCAAACCTCCCCTTAAAGACCACCTTGGACAACATTAGGAAACCGGAACCCACGCCTCACCGCCACATCCACTGCCTGTCAAAACCCAAAGGCCACCACCGCCGGATTGAACGAAAACAGGGAACATGAAGCCTCGTCCTCAAGCCAACAGTTGCGCACCCCGACCCCCCACACGAGACCCAAGCAAACGGCCTCTCCCACCCCCTCTGTCGGCTGTCGCAACCACAACGACCATCACAACCAGAAGGCCAACACCAGAGAGCCCGAGACACCAACCTCAAGTCGTCCGACAACAACCACCAGCTCAAACCCGAACCTACGCCCTTCCCCACCGCCGACAGTCGCAACCCAGGGACCACCAAGGCACCACTGCAGGAAGGATCGGACTTCCTAATGCCCGGGACAATCGGAATCTAGGAGCCCGATGCACCGACACAAGTCGACAATCAACACAACCACCAACCCAGTCTCCGCGCACCACCGACGAGCCACCAACCGCCCACCTGCCATCGCCATGGCATCAGAAAAGGGACGAAATCCACATAAATGAGGTGCCTGAGAGCTAACCTGGACACAATTTAACCGTAGTGACCAGATGCCAGCCAACACGATGGGTGTGGCACACCCGCCAAAGGGAGGCAACAATCAGATTAATTAGATTTTTTTAAATCAAAATAAAAAAAAAAAATTAGATTGTTTTTGCGGGGAAAAGTATCAATGCTTAATGTTTTTTTTTTCTTTTCCCCGCAAATCCAATTTTTTTTTTTTTTTTGATTCGCTTATTTCCCAATTTGGAAAAGCAACCAACTCTAATTGATACAAAAATATATACTAAATAAGAAAGAAAACCTAGAATTTGCATCTTCATATATACGTGTGGCTGTGGCCACACATAAAATATTCAAAATCAACAAAATTGCCTTGCGCGCAGAAGAAGTACAGGCAAATTTTGGTGGCATTTTCCTACCCTTTATAAATTGTGCTCTTTAAAAAACATGGGAGCATTGGAAGGCAATCCTGTATTTGCACAAGTCTTTGGATATATGTATTGAGCACAAATTTAACTTGCATGATAAATTGGAACAGCGAATAGAACACATATTTAGAACTAGAAGTGTGTCCCGAATCTAGTGGGAGGCCATCCTCGAAGAAGCCTGAAAACCACAACGCACCCACGATAATACTATCTAACCCTCAACAGGATAATCTAAGTCCCAAAAGAATATATAATAGCACACAAGAAAAACAGAAAGAAACACAGGCTAAAAAACACGAAAATACAACACAAAAATAAAAATGGTAGACTAAAGCTCCTCCCTATGCCGAGCAGCCACACCAGGCGAAACTCGACGACACCCACGGTCGACCACCTAACCAGACAGGATCGCGACTCGAATTCTGAATCCAGAAACTGCAACTCAGGCTATATATAATCGTTAGAGTGATATATTTGTAAAAGTTACGTACATACTTATCCTAAGAAATGTCTTACTTTAATTTATTTTAACTTTTAAAATATGACATTTGAGTATGAAAATACATGAATAAAATTTATGTTGTATTTCAAAATATGCCATTTTAGTATCAAAATATGTGAATACATAAAAAACGTATTATTGTCTAATAATTAAACAGTCTAACACAAAACCTAGTGATGATCAACAATATGATTTTATAGATGGAGTAGTCGTTTTTTTATATTCAGATTTCTGGCTTACGCTAGACTAATCTTGAACCCTAAGAGCGCGACTGATAACAGATCACAACCGATTTTGATTGGATCTTGAGTTAAAGTAAGTTAATTTTAATTGAACTTAATTGAGTGGAGGATCGAGTGAGATTTTGAATTTGAATTTAAATAATATTTAAAATGTAATAATTAAAGTTGATGTAATGTAATAATATGTTGAGAGAAGATGACAATATGACACACGAATTAAAAACAAGAAAAGTAAAAAACACAAGATTTACGTGGTTCGGCAATGTGCCTACGTCCACGGCGGCTGAGGGATCTTTTATTATTCTCAATCGTATCAAATACATCAATACACCATGTATTTATACTAAAACCCTACAAGGTATAAATTTACTTAAATACCCTGTACCGTACCGCGGGGGCTCTGCCCCCGCACCCCCGGCCCAACTAATCGACCCAGCCCAACAAGCTCCGCTCACTTCGCTCGGTCGCTCCGCTCCCCTCGCTACATTCGCTCCGTTACGCTCGCAGGCATCAGCCTGCCCTCTTCCTTTGTCAATATATGAGGCATACCAACAAATCTCCACCTTGGCGAATATATCACCTCCTTAGGAGAACACAATAGCGAGCATCTCTGCGAGACACACCAAGCAGGCCGGGGGTACCATGCAACTCTAGCATGCAGAAACATTCAACAAATCCAAGCAATGCTTGAATTTGTCAGAAGTAACAGTCTTAGTCAACATATCAGCAGCATTCTCTTCAGTATGAACTTTCTCCAACTGAATATCACCAGATGTAATCCATTCCCTAATCTTGTGGAACCTCACATCAATATGCTTCGTCCTAGCATGATATATCTGATTCTTAGCCAAATGAATGGCACTCTGACTGTCACAATGTACTAGAACTCCACCTTGCTGAATACCCAACTCTCTAACCAGTCCAGCAAGCCACACTGCTTCCTTTGCCGCTTCAGCCAAAGCAATATACTCAGCTTCAGTTGTAGATAGAGCAACTATAGGCTGAGTATTCGACCTCCAACAAATAGGCCCTCCACCAAAAGTAAAGACATACCCAGTGGTAGATCTCCTATTATCCAAGTCCCCAGCATAATCAGAATCCACATATCCTACAACCAAAGGATCCAACCGCTGATCTCCAAACACAATACCATGTCCCGCAGTACCTTTCAAATATCTGAAAATCCATTTGACTGCCTCCCAATGCTGTTTACCCGGCCTAGACATATACTTGCAAACTTGACCAACAGCATGAGCTAAATCAGGACGAGTACATACCATGGCATACATCAGACATCCAACAACACTGGCATAAGGTATCTCCACCATATCCTGAGTCTCCTTGTCCGACTTGGGACACTGATCAACAGAAAGCTTGAAGTGGTTTGCTAATGGAGTGCTCACCGGTTTTGCTTCATTCATCCCAAACCTCTGTAGTACCTTCTCCACATAACCCTTCTGAGATAACCACAGCTTCTTTGATCCTCTATCCCTGTGAATCTCCATCCCATGAATCTTCTTCGCAGCCCCCAAATCCTTCATCTCAAATTCCTGACTCAAAAGCCTTTTCAGATCAATAATATCTCGCATATTCTTGGCAGCAATAAGCATGTCATCAACATAAAGTAGCAGAAAAATCATAGAACCATCACCAAGGCTCTTGGTGTAAACACAGCAATCAAAATCACAACGCTTGTAGCCAATCTTCACCATATACGAATCAAACCGTATATTCCACTGCCGCGATGCTTGCTTCAAGCCATACAAGGATTTCTTCAACCTGCAATATAAATGCTTCTTCCCTGGTTGAACGAAGCCCTCTGGCTGCTGCATGTAAATAGGCTCTGCGAGATCACCATGCAAGAAAGCAGTCTTCACATCCATCTGCTCCAAATGCAAATCCCAACTAGCCACCAATGCAAGTACAGCCCTGATCGAAGTATGTCTAACCACAGGGGAAAATGTCTCATCATAGTCAATCCCCTTTTGCTGTGAGTATCCTTTAGCCACCAATCGAGCCTTGAACCTTTCCCCTCATTTTCATGTTACCGATGACTTCCTTGTGTAAATCCACCTACAACCAATAGCTCTCTTCCCTTCGGGAAGAACATCCAACTCCCATGTCTGATTCTTGTGAACAGAATTCATCTCTTCTTCCATGGCAGCCTTCCATCTATCATTATTCTCACAAGAAACAGCCTCCTGGAAAGTACAAGGATCCACACTAGTGATCGTAAGAGCAAATGCAACCATATCCTCATAACCAAACCTGACCGGAGCTTGTATATTGGTACGCCTCACTCTATCCCGAGCTAACTTGTAGCTCTCTGGCACATCAGTTGGGCCAGAAACATCATGATCAACATCATCAGGTGCAGAACTCGAACTCTCTCCTTTATCAAGAACTGCTGGAACATGCTCCAACTCCACCTGTACTTTATCCGCATCTGATCCCAACATAGACTGTTCATCAAACACTGCATCTCTACTAATCACCGTCTTCTTCTCAATTGGATCCCAAAACTTGTATCCCTTCACACCTTTCTTATAGCCCAGAAAAGTGCACTTCTTTGATTTAGCATCAAGTTTTGACCTCTCATCAGCAGGAATATGAACATATGCAGGACAGCCAAAAATCTTCAAATGATCAAAACTAACATCATTACCTGTCCATACTTCTTCTGCAACTTTGCCATCTAGAGATGCACGTGGTGATCTGTTAATTAAATAACAAGCCATACTTACAGCCTCAGCCCAGAAACTCTTTGACAAACCCGCATTCAGTCTTAAACACCTCGCCCTCTCAGCCAGTGTCCGATTCATCCTCTCAGAAACACCATTCTGCTGTGGTGTTTTACGCACTGTAAAATGCCTTTGAATCCCATGCTCCTCACAAAACTTCTGGAATTGTGAATCGGTGTACTCTGTACCATTATCAGACCTTAAGTACTTGATTTTCCTACCAGTCTGGTTCTCCACCTCAGCCTTCCATAGCTTGAATTTAGCAAAAACTTCAGATTTATGCTTCATGAAATACACCCAAACTTTCTTCGAAAAATCATCAATAAAGGTCACATAGTACAAAGAACCACCAATCGATGTCACTCTAGTAGGACCCCACACATCTGAATGTACATAATCCAGAATTCCTTTTGTCTTCTTCTTCCCAGTCTTGAAACTGACTTTTGTCTGCTTTCCCAGAACACAAAACTTGCAGAAATTGAGTTTGCAAGTTTTAACACCATGCAGAAGCCCCCTCTTATGTAGCTCAGTCATGCCATGTTCACTAAGATGTCCAAGACGCATGTGCCACAATTTCGTGCTATCTTCACACGACTCCACCGAATGGACTCCACCTACAACTGTACTTCCCAACAGTTTGTAAATGTTCCCTGCAGTGATCCTCCCCTTCATCACAGTCAAGGCACCCTTCACAATCTTAATGGTTTCCCTATCCTCATCAGCCTTGGGAATGAAACCATTTCTATGCAAAGTACCCAAAGAAATCAAATTCTTCTTCAACTCAGGGATATGTCTCACATCACACAATGTCCTAACAGTTCCATCATACATCTTGATTTTGACATCCCCAATACCGACAATACCGCAGCATCTATCATCACCAAGAAAAACAGAACCTGAGTTGCCTGATTTATAAGTAGCAAACCACTCTCTGTTAGGCGTTATATGATATGAACATCCAGAATCGAGAATCCAAGCATCATCATACTGCGCAGTCGAAATAGATAACATATCTCCATCACTGCAATCAGATTCCTCATTCTGTACCACATTTGCAGACTTGGATGACATATCAGCAGTCTGTTTCTTCCACTTTGGGCATCCCGTTTAAAGTGCCCTTGTTCCTTGCATTTATAACACGTCACAGTTTTCCTCCCTTTCGATTTGTCTCGCGACTTGGATCTGAAATTCCGATTTCCTGAATTATCCCGCACCTGTTTCCTTCCACGATCCTGGTTACCCTTCACATATAAACTGTCACTTTGCGAAGATGACTCTCCAGATTTCTGTTTCCGCTGGTTGTGAGCCAACAACGCTGAAGTAATCTCCTCAGTCTTGATCGTTTCTTTCCCATATGTAAGGGTAGTCACCATATGTTCGTAAGAAGGAGGTAACGAACACAGTAAAATCATCGCCTTGTCTTCATCTTCAATCTTGACTTCGAGTGAAGCCAAATCCGTGACAACCTGATTGAAGATATTCACATGTTGCCCTAAATCGGTCCCCTCCTGCATCTTCAGCCCGTATAACCTCTGCTTTAGATACAGTTTTGTCGTTAGGGTTTTCGACATGAACTGCGATTCCAATTTCTTCCAGATCTCATCTGCCGATTTGAGATGCATAACGTGATACATAACTTCATCTGCAAGGCACAACCGAATCGTCCCGGCCGCCCGTTCCTGCAGATCTTGCCAATCATCGTCTTCCATCCCCTTTGGCTTTTCTGCACGCAGCCCTTTTTGAATTCCTTGTTGCGCCAATAAATCTTTTACTCTCGTCTGCCATAATCCGAAATTGCCATGACCATCAAATTTCGAGACCTCGAATTTCGATCCTCCCGTCATCTCCGTCGCCCAATCAACCTGGCTCTGGTACCACTTGTTGAGAGAAGATGACAATATGACACACGAATTAAAAACAAGAAAAGTAAAAAACACAAGATTTACGTGGTTCGGCAATGTGCCTACGTCCACGGCGGCTGAGGGATCTTTTATTATTCTCAATCGTATCAAATACATCAATACACCATGTATTTATACTAAAACCCTACAAGGTATAAATTTACTTAAATACCCTGTACCGTACCGCGGGGGCTCTGCCCCCGCACCCCCGGCCCAACTAATCGACCCAGCCCAACAAGGGCTGATGCCTGCTCGCTCCACTCCGCTCACTTCGCTCGGTCGCTCCGCTTCCCTCGCTACATTCGCTCCGTTACGCTCGCAGGCATCAGCCTGCCCTCTTCCTTTGTCAATATATGAGCCATACCAACATAATATGAGAGAGATAATTGGAGGTGATAATTAATTAAAAATATACGAATTAATAGTTAATTAAAGTTGATGTAACGTGTGCAAATTGTTGATTGTTGAACAGAGTTAATTGGATTAAATTTGAGTTGGATTTTGAACAATAGTGAACACAAAAGTCAGGTGATCGGTGAAAACCAGTTTTGATTCGTTATCGATCGCTACCTAAGCTCTTCCGCGACTTTTATCAATGACCAACGGAAAAGCGTGGTTTTCCAAAGTTGCGAGCCCAAGTGCCATGATTTTACTGTACAACAGATATACATAAGCTAGCTAGTGCACTACATATCAATCCAATGCTTAATTAGCCCACTGTCTGACATTGTCATATATATGTTGCCCCTCCTCTCAATTAATGGAAAAGTGATAACAACTCACGAGCAAACACTTTACAGATTTTTTTTTTCCCCCCCTTTTTTTTTTTTAATTTTCAAAACTNAAAAAAAAAAAAAAAAAAAAAAAAAAAAAAAAGAAAAGGGCGTCAGTCACAACCACAAGGCCCTCTTATTACATATACAATATATAATTATATATATACATTTTATTTATACGTACTCTGCAAGTCGCAAACATGAATAAAACCAAAAACAAAGGCATAGAGACAAAATCTGGTGTGAGCCCTCCCACAGTCAAATTGTGGACGACATCCAATCTCTCTCTCTCTCTCTCCCCACGCTCTCCCAATTCAACCAATTTCATTTTTCGAATAAATAAAAAAAAATAAAATTAAACAAAAAAAAAAAGATTTTGAATTTTCCACTGTAAGTCTACTCGCGCGCTGATCCAAATATATATATATATATATATATATATTTGTACAAAGAAAGAGATTAAATCACTAGACCAACACTCGACGGGGGTATGACACCCCTTTAATGTCATGATCGATCCAAGAGCCTAGCCCGGTCGGTGGGGAATCCAATCAATGAAGGCCAACTGGATATGAGTCCGCAAAGCTCGCCAAGTAATCTGCCGCACAATTAGCCTCCCTATATATGTGTTGGATATTAACAGTCCAATCTCTTTGAGTCAGCTCTCTAATAGCTCGAATCAGTGCAGCATGGGGCCCCAAATCGTCCTCCAAACCGCACACCATATTCTTCACACTTAGACTATCAACTTCAGTTATAACTTGCCGATATCCCATCTCCCAAGCCAACATAAGGCCCTGAAACATGCCCCACAATTCGGCCCCTGTAATGGTGGAGAAGCCAACTTTGAAAAGAAATCCCGTTAACCATCGTCCATTCTCATCACGGATTAAACCCCCCGCATAACTCAGGCCCGTTGCATTGGAAGTGGCACCATCCGAATTTATTTTAACCCAACCCTTTGGTGGAGGGGTCCACCGAACCATCCGAGTAATATGAACAGTCGCTCCCACACGTACATAATCCGCTCTAGCTCGGGAATAACTCGTCGTGAGCCTCAAAACTTCCAGCCGGCGGACCTCGACCGCAATGCATTCCTGTTTAAAATCCCGTGAGTTTCTCCAAAGCCATGAGCGCCATGTATTGATGGCAAACACGGTACTCCACTCTTCACCTCTTCCCATTTGCACCGTCGATAGGTTCATACGCATCCATTGGTGCAAGGGCAGCTGGAAAAAATCTCGATCATGGTTCGACGGTAAAAGCCGGAACCAAAGTTCTCGTGTGGGCGGACAGTCTCGAAGTACGTGCAGCGTCGTCTCCATCTCTCCGCACAGCTCACAGTTAGCCGTAGCCGTTAAGTGCCTCCTGACACGTTCAACATTTGTGAGAAGTCGGTCCCTGGCGGTAAGCCACAAGAAAACCCGAGCACGCTGTGGTGCAGCGGTACGCCAAATGATATTCCACAGCGATTAGGGCTGGACAAAAAACTCGAACCGAACCGCTGAATCGTAGATCCGAATTGAAATCAAACCGAATTTTCGGTTAACTGGGGTACTCGGTTCGGTTACAAATACCTCAAAGGAAGTATTTGCTCGGTTCGGTTACGGTTTTTAGGATTTTTTTACCCCGGTTAACCGAACCGAACCGAACCATATATTATTATAAAATTTATAATATACATATATTATATTATATATTATATATTAAATTTATATATATTAAACTAACTTATATTTATATATATTAAACTATATATATTAGGTTTGCTCGGTTCTCGAATTAATCGAACCGAACCGAACCGAACCGAGCAAACCTAACACAGAATTGTATTAGGTTTGCTCGGTTCAGTTCGGTTCGGTTAATTCGCGAATAGTAGGATTTTTTTTCGGTTAACCGAGATTTTCGGTTTGGTTTCGGTTAGCAAGTTCGAATATTTGTTCGGTTCGATTCGGTTAGCAAATACCTGAAAAAATTCGGTTATTCGAACCGTGCCCAGCCCTAACAGCGATTATTTGTTGTCTCTCGTGCTGGGAGCTAATGAGTTGTATGCGGATTTTGTCGTAAATCTGCCAGTTGCAGACAGGCCCCATATCATTCGGTCTTCTCCAGCAGCCGCGCGAGGAGGTAATGTTCCAGCAATTCGAAGAACAACAGATGAAGGGAGGATTATGCCGTGAAAACAAGCCCACTTCCAGTCGCCATTAGAGTCAACCAAATCAGCAACAACAACCGTAATATTAACCAGATGTACATGCGTGTCGATATATTGGACAAGCGGGCCACCAGAGTCTAACCATGAATCAAGCCAGAAATGCACTCGCTCGCCATTCCCTAAAATCCATCTGACACCATTGAATATAGTCTTGTAGACAATATAAATAAATGTATGATATGATATTTCATATAATAATTATGTATTTTTATTAAAGGATGTAATAGGTCGTTTGAACGTTAAGAAGCCATATTTTTTAACACACACACACACATATATACATATAATAATTTAATGTATAACATTTTAAAGTATAACTATGTATTTTTGTTAAGATAAAAGTATAATACTAAAATTAAACAAAGAACAAATAAATTTGAAGCAATTTAATCGATTGTCAACCATGTCCTTGAAATATCAACTTTTTATAACATAAATATATTTTTATTAAATTTTGAAATGCATATATAGGGAAATGCTATGGTGTCGTTACGGAATCATTTTGTCGGGTTTGTAACCGATACATCATCATGTAATCGTAGGAGATAGTTGACATAACAATTACAAATTCTGACGGTATTATTCTGTAACTGTACTGTAGCATCTTCTACAAATATATACGTGTTTATTTAAGAATAATATAACGGATTAACACAACTAATTTACACTTAAACAAAAATTTGTCTTTATATAATTGTATGTCCCACTCATGGATTATATCAGAGCTTCCCACTAGTCTAAGACACTAACAACACAAGTTACACAACATCTAAATTCATATAGCAAATTAAAAATAAAACACCTTCCAAATCTACACCAATTTACTCCAACTATCTATACATATATATACACATACATACAGGAAGAGAGAGAAAGAGGAGCTAGAGAGGTAGAGAGAGAAAGCTTGATTAAGCTCTTCCTGTATCATTAATGCTCGCCGTGTCGCCGCTGAGGAACCCCAAAAATGAAAGGGAAATCGAGATGGACCAGGCCATTCACCTGCCGCCGCAGCCGCCGTCGATGGAGGACCCAATCGAGTTCCCGGACTTCTCCGGCGGGAGCCTGCTCGACAGCATCGACTTCGACGACCTTTTCGTGGGGATGAGCGACCTGCCGGATCTCGAGATGGACCCGCGCGACATCCTCGCCGAATTCTCCGCCAGCGCCGGCGAGGAGTCAACGTCGGAGGCCTACCCGCCGCCGTCCTCCGCCGACGATGAGAGCAACAGCTCGGCCGCGAGGGAGGAGAAGCCGCCACCGTGTCCGGCTTCGGGCCTAGGGCCGGGCTCGACGAGCCCGTTAGGAGACGTGGCTAGCGCCAAGCCGCCGGCGGCGAAGGAGTTCTCAGGCGAAAAGGGGAGGAAATCGATGGCGAGCAACGGGAAAAACCCTAATGGGAAGAGGAAAGTGAAGGTGAGTGTAATAAAATTTCGAAATTATTTTTTACCATCTAATTATTATTATTATTATTATTATTATTATTATTATTATTATTTATTTTTTGATATTCTGACGAGGTGGGTTCATTTATTGAAGAGGCCTTCTTCGTTATCCACAAGGAATACATTGATCTTTTTCCTTCAATTTATACTATGTTTCTCTTTCGTATTTATGAATTTCTCACGCATATTTCGTGGAAAAAAAAAGTGCGGTTCACGAGACCCAGAAATTCAAGTTTAATTAAATTAATAAAATTCAATAATAGTTAAGTGAATTTTTATAATTTCATTTATATATTTTATTTTGAAGAAATTATATAATAATTATTTTTTTTTTATTTTTTTGAAATGTGTGTGTGTGTGTGATATAAGGTGGATTGGACCCCAGAGCTTCACCGGCGTTTTGTGCAAGCGGTGGAGCAACTTGGTGTGGATAAAGCTGTCCCTTCCAGAATTCTGGAGCTCATGGGGATTGATTGTCTCACGCGCCATAACATCGCCAGCCATCTTCAA